TGCGAAAGATGAAGTCTAGAAGACGGCCCTGCCGCCCTCCACCCGCAGACCGAGCTAGCGGACCGAACAATCCGGGGAACGCAGGGAGGTGCGACCCGCTGTCCAGAACACTCGAGCCGTCTTCAGCTTTTCTTTGCGACAATTGCACCGAGTAACACTTTACGCTCACGAGAACATCACCTACAGCTAACAGTGCTCTTTCAGCAAGCTACATTCATCTGCAATCTTGATGCTGCATGCCAGCCCCGCTCGCCACTGCTCGGCCTCTTAATTTACACATATTGAGATCCACCTCCACGTCCGACATAGTATGCCAGTGGTTCCTGAAAGACCAGGGATCTTCGTGTCGTGTGATCCCGCATACCTCTTCCGGGTTCTGGAAGCCAATACATGTCTCTCGCATTACATCACCACTTGCGCACGCTGGAGTCATTAATATCAAAGATAAACCCTCTGGCTATTATACATGCATCCTAGTCTAAAAGGCGACGGGGAAAGGTGGCTCTACAAGCCTCCCTATAACCTATGATGAATGCAAAAGCTACCGTCCTCCACTGCGACGTCCAACCGCCAATAGGCTGATAGTACAGAAACACACTGCTCACGCTCAGGTCCGACGACGTCGTTTACTCGTCGTCGTCCGGGTTCGTGTCGGACTCGTAGATAAATTCACCCGGAGTCGAAGCCTCGGCCTCGCCCTCATCCACCATATTATCGCTGACCGGCGCTGCAGCAGTTGTTACTGATATGCCTTCTGGTCCTTGATCTCCTGAGGAGCCTGACGCGCCAGGGGCAGGAGCAGGCACGGCCTTCTTTACCTTGAGCTCTAGGAGCGTCTTCGGTTCTGAAGGCTTCGTGTCTGTGAGAAGAATGACACCGAGTGTTGGCTGGTGATGGGTTAGCTTAAGGATCTTCGGCGTGGTGGGTGAATGACTAACCTTCTTCACTGGTACATATCGTTCGCTGGGGAAGCTGATGTACTTCACTTGCGGCGGCAGTACACGCGACATGTTCTCCAGCTCGTAGCCAACCTTCTCCTTCTCAACCTTCTTCTTTGAAGACTCCACGTTTTGTGCACCGTCAGCCTTCTCGCCATCTTCCTTCTTAGGGTCCTCGTCAACGTCCATCTTGTCGTCGTCCGCAGGCTTGGGTGTGGTAGGAGTGTGGTCTACATCCATGCTTTCCCTGCGCTTTTGACGCTCCTTAACCATCCGTCGTCGCTTATCTTGAGCGGTGGTCGATAGGACTGCGGTCTTGATCTTCTCGGGCGCCTCTTCTGCCTTGACCTCTGCGTCTGGCGGGTAATCGAACATGCTGGGCCTAGTGTTGCTGTGGAACTTGAACGAAGGGATCTCCAACTCCTGGTCTAGACCAATGACGGCAGTAGACGTGAAACTCAGCGAGAGGAAGTGAGTCAGAGGGAACCAGTACCAGTACTGGGTGAAGACGGCCATACCGACGATGGCCGCCATGTTCAGGTTGCCAGTCGGCGTCTGCAGACCGATTGTGCAATTCCTACCTCCGGCATCGATGATACCCAAGGCTAGAGCAGCACCGAACTTGGCCATAGCATCCTCGTGGCGATCGCTCACCACCTTGGCGAGCTGCTTTCGGATAGACGCTACCTTGGGGTTCATTGCCTCGTTTTGCTGAACCATGATCATGGACAGCGCAATCAGAGCACCTTGTCGGACGAAGTCGGTTGAGTCCTTCATCATTGGCTCCAACAGATCTACGGCCTCTGGGAGACCGGTTCCTGCGCAAGCAATACCAAGGGCCATGGTGGCTCCGTATCGCACATGTGGGTTGTATGACTCTGCGAGAAGCTCAACCATGCGGGGAACACTGCCTGGCTTCCTGAAGAGGATGAAACCCAAGCTCATGACTGCTACTCTTCGTACATCATCGCTGACGTCACTGACGGCAACGTGGAGTAACCTTCTGACGGCCTTGTTGCTGCCTGTGCCACAGTACGCAAGAGCGATAGTCATGATACCTCCGTATCGCAGGGTTGGGTCTGGGTCGTCGAGGAGACCGTTGATGAGCTCGTCAGCAGCCTCTTGTCGACCGTACATGATGAGTGCCATGCCCATAGCTAGACCACGAACAATCTTCTCGTGCTGTGTGTCGTGCGCGTACTGGATCATGTCTTCGAGTGCCTTGATGTTGCCAGTGCCGAGCATGACAAGACCCATGGAGAGACCGACGGCCTCACCGTTGATGGCAGAGTCTGTGTACAGAACGTTCTTGAAGGCCTCGAAAATCTCCTCGGAGCCAGTGGCCATACCAGCAACACCCAGGCCGAGCGCACCGCCATGCTGGATGACCTCTTCAGATGCGTTCTGGAACTGCTTCAGGAGGAGATCGAGAACGTTGGATCCGTGGTTCGCGTAGATCAAACCAAGAGCGTATAGTGATCCACCCTGCTCGTAGTGAGAGCCCGATGAGACACTGTCCTTGGGCAGGTAAGGCTCAAGAAGCTTCTGCCCTTGTGTGATGTTGCCGCGGTGGATGACACCCAGAGCAGCGGTCGCGGAGAACTTGGACCAGTTGACTGCCTTTCCTAGCCATTCCAGGTTCTCGCGGAAGAATGTGTCATTGGTAGTGCCAGCATTCATGAAGGCGTTTGCGAAGGTAACACTGGAGTGGAAGATGGAGTTCCTAGCCTCCAAGCTGTCGCGGACCTTGTTGAGCACAGCCTTGTCTGTGCGGTTGTTCCTGTATAGGAACTCGAGGTTCAGTTCGATGCTCTTGGTTCCTCGGAGAATGTAGCGGACGTTGTTGTAGACCTTGATCTGATCTTCGCTCGCCTGGTCCCCCTTTGAGTTGCTGGTATCTACGTCTGCGAGCAGAGAGTCCGACTCGCCTGCATCCGAGGGTTTCTGCGCGTCTTCCTTATCAGCTTCCGGCAGCTCTTCCATAATCTTTGTGAGGAACTCTTGGGTGCCGTTCTCGTAAAGGTCGAAGGAGATCTGGTATGCGACTGCGCGAGACTTGTCGTCTCCTCGCTCAATCAGCTGCCGGATGAGCTTCGAAGCCAGCGAGTGCTGGTTGAGGTATACGACACACTTGGCGATGGAGAAGTAATCGGGGTTCGGGATCTGGTCATCGTTGAGGAGATCCAGAATCAGGCGGAGGATCTCGTTCCTCAGGCCTCGCTCTTGTACCACGTTCATGCAGATATCGAGAACGTATTCCATCAAGTCCTCGCTCTGTGCGGAGGGCTGGGCGGGCTTCTTGCCCTGCTTCTTTCCGTCCTGGCTTGCGCGGACAATCGACTCGCGCAGAACATCGAGATTCCGCGCCTCGATGGCGATTCCAACGACCTGCTTGTAGTTGCCGCTCTCGTAGCAGCTCTCGAATATCCGCCGTACAGTGCTGTGGAGGTTCTTCTGCACGTTTCGCTGCAATACCATCGGGGTGGGGTGGGCTCCTGGTACGCCGGCATTGCCTCCTCCGGGGAGTGTAGGATCGAACGTCGACGAGTCTTCCCTGGAGAGAAGCGACTTGGAGGGTAACGCGGACTGGGAGAAGGGCGTTATCGGCGAAGCAAGACTGGCTGCAGTGCTGGCACCTCCTGCCGCGTTTCCGGAGAAGGATGTGCTCAGTTGAGGAGGGGCCTGGCTCGCCTTGCTGACCGGTGTCGGGGGGTTGTGCATGACGGACAGCGCGATGTACGTGTCTAAGCATTTGGCTGGAAGAAGCAAGTTAGCAAACTGTGCTCGAAGTATGAGGAACCCGATGTTTCAGCTCATGATGAGATAAACATGAGCTGAATAGGAAGCTCAGTTGCCCGTGGTGTCTTACCCAGTATTGTCTCCTCGAACTCGGCTGCCTTGTGGATGTCGAAGAGCTTTCCTGCGCCCAGGGCGAAGACCATGCTCTCATTGTACTCTTGCAGCTGGTAGTACACCTTGGCGGCTACCAGAGCGGCCAGCTCTCGCTCGGGGAACGAGTCGTCTTCGTAGAGCGCCTCACTATGACGCACCCATGTTAGCAGCTGTTTTGATGGCGATATAGCGACGAGAGCGCGTAGTAGCTCATCTGAATTCCTTACATTTGACTGACAGACCCCGCGACCTCTGGCCACAGCAGGTCGATCTCCTCGTTCAGCCGCTGGAGGGCGAACGAGCGCAGGGCCGGATCGGGTTCCGAGAGGAAGCCGACGACACCGGCGGCGGACGTGAGGCCAACCATTGTAGTGTGGCTTGCGGGAGCAATGTATGGCTTCGTGTAGTGGGACGGCCGTCCGCGTTGGTGGTGAGGGAGGGAGCTGTTGTTGCGGAAGTGGGTAGAAGCGTATGGAGCTGCGCTGTGGCGCCTGCGGCTTGCCTGAGGTCAAAGGATAATCTGAGGCGGTGCTGCGGCGAACTCTATGGGGACGGTCGCAGTGAAAGAGGGACGGGAAGATGGAGGGTGGGTGGTTGATGGGGGATGGCGTGGCGCCCTTGTGGTGTTCGGGGAATCGTGTACGTGATGGTCTAAACAGTAGCTCGTGAGTTTCGGAAGCGGCGACCCTGGTCCACTTTGAGCATGACATAATACGCTACCGGCGCATCACTCCTACGATAAGCTCCGGACTTCCACGTCACTTTGAGCATGCACTTGGATGGCAGTCTGCATGGTACAAACAGAGATGAAAACGAGTCATCCCATTTAACAGGTACTTTGAAGTCCAGATCAGTATAAACCCATGAGTTCACTAACGTCCCAAGGCAATGTAGTCTCCTAGGTCTGTCTTGCGCGCGATGCTTCGTAGAAGGTAGGTGAAACTGGGTATCTTGATTTAAAGACTAAACTCCGTATAATGCTGCTGATCCCATGTTCCTTGTGCCTCTGGATATGTAAAACGCCGAAGAGATCAGATGATAATAATAATACAAAGCACCTCATACAAGGCAGAAGACGAACAAGCTTGACGCCTACACTGAGACAAAGATGAGCGTGATTGAGAATCTAGCATCAATGCAGGCTTCACGGGGTTCGGGTTTCCCCCTTTTCTAAGCGGGATGCGTGATTATGCGTGACGCAACCCGCAGATTGTTCATCATTCCGCTGATTATGTCCTCAAACTCAGTAGGCTGCTTGAGCCTAACCTTGTCTGCCTCAGCGATGAGAATATCAGAATCCAACTCCAACTCCAGCTCATGATTCTTGCTAGTCCCTTGTGTGACCTGTGTGAGATCAATTTGGTATGCGCCCAGCCATGAATATGACATGCGGTCTTTTTGTCGCTGCATACTTTCCAGCGTCTTTCCCGGCTCGAGCGCGGCCTTGAGACTTTCAATCGGGCCTGGGAAGTCAATTTCGAGGTTGATACCGATGCGGTAGTCCCACTCTGTCTTGGGAGAGCTGATCTCGAGGTTCCCTATCCGGTGCTTTATCATGGCTCGCACGAATTCGCCCGTATTCTTGTCGCGGGTCACGCGGACCTTCTGTCGGGTGCCGGATGCGCTGATGAGACGTTGAACTATAGGATTCAACATGGAAAAGCCTTCCTGGTCGAGTTCGTAGAACATGTCCGTCTCGTAGGTATGTCGGTAATCGATCGGCGGGCGCGGAGCACCGGGTATCTTCGACTGCTGGACCTGAGCGTTGAGGGCGTGGTTCATGCGCTTGTGTTGAAGAGCAGTCATAGTGCTCTCGAACTTGACATCCAAGGCCTCAGTATTGATAACGCATTCTGTTCTCCAGAACCCGCGCAGTCGCTGGTCGGTCTGCTTTTCTAGGATCTGACCCCAGCGCGCTTCGACTTCCAGTTGCACCTTTGGATCTGCGATCGCGTTTCGTACCGCCTCGTTGTTAACGGCTGTGGACCAGATGAATTCGCATACTTCGTGCGCGACGACGTCGTAGAGTTGCGCATCGTGGAACATTGGCCGCACGAAGCGAGAGAGTCCAGATGCAGTGGCTACTGAAGGAGGCGCGCCGGTATCGCTGGGCGCGTGTCCATTTCGTTCGGCTTTCGGAGACGGCTGAGGTCGCGGCGGAGGAGGGTGCGATGGAAGCGCAGGTTGCGCGCGTGAGTGGGCCTGGGGGACTACAACAGGCGGAGGGGGCCGTGACTGTTGACGTTGTTGCTCTTGTAGCTGTCTGAGCTCAGGCGGAAGTTGTTCGCCTTCGCGATACGCCCATATGGGCTTGGGGTCATGGCGCTTCCGTTTCAGCGACATCTGCTGTTGGCTGGGTTTAGGCGTCGGTATCTTTGCGGCGGGAGTGACAGGGGAGGATGCGGGAAGGGAATGGGGGTGGGAGAGTGAACGGCGCGGTAGCACCGATGCTTCCCCATCGTGATTTACTAGCGCAGATATGTCCATCGTGGGTTGTGGTAGGGTTGTGCGGCGGACTCACCATCGTGTACAGATGCCTAGTGTTGCTGGCGCACGGACGATTCCACTCTGGGCCTCCTTTGTTCCAACGTTGTGCCGCCTCAGGTACCTAGGTAGCTACTGCCTATCTAGCATGCGACCATCACTTGGAACTTGTGCGAAGAGGTAATCATTAAAGAGTTTGCTTGATCCGCTAGTGTTTACACCAAATCTTGTGTCCCTATGCGCCAGACCGTCATTTGCGCAAACGAGTCATGTATATGCGCCTCCTGTGCAGCGCACTCCACACCTTCTATCTAAACAACCAAACGTCCGCTCCGACGCTACCTTCACGCGTCTTGGTCGAGGCCAAGGTCCTCCTGTGCTGGGACAATGCGGAGTGTGTTGGTGTGTCCCATTCCTCCTCTCCAGCCCTGTACGCAAATAACTGGATCTCCCTTGCTGAGAACACCGAGCTTGATGGCGTTCATGATTCCCCACTTCAAACGGCGGTCAACATCCTCCTGCCATGGCTCCGTCTTGAAGTCGGGCTTCTTCTCGGGGAAGTAGAATGGGTAGACGCCGCGGTACAGGTGTGAATACTACTCAAATTAGCCATGGGAATCCCTGTGCATTGGAAAAAGCAAAACTTACCCTAGCAGCCATCTCGTTGCGGGTAACCATGATGATGGGGCAGACGGGGCGGTACTTGGAGACGAGGCGGGCGGTGGTACCACTAATGCACGTTAGAATCACAAATGTACAACATGCTGGGAGACTCACCTCGTGGTCAGGACCAAGATGGCGCCAGCGTTCTGCTCGAGACTGGCACTGACGGCAGCCATGGCACAGGTCTCGGTAGTAGGGCATGGGACGGGAGCCAGCTTCCTCAGCTCATCGAATGCGTTGACATATGGGATAGCGACCTCGGCGAGCAGGCAGGTCTCGTGCATCATGGTGACGGCCTCGACGGGGTAGTCACCCTTGGCGGTCTCTCCAGACAACATGACGCAGTCGGCACCGTCGAGAACAGCATTACCGACATCGCTGACTTCAGCACGAGTTGGGCGCGGGTTGTAGGTCATGGACTCGAGCATTTGAGTTGCGCAGATGACGGGCTTTCCGGCAATGTTGCACTTGGTAATCATCATCTTCTGGGCGATGAAGACCTGGCTGGGCGGGATCTCGATACCAAGGTCACCACGGGCGACCATGACACCGTCGGTCTCCCTCAGGATCTCGTCGAAGTTGTTCACACCTTGCTGGTTCTCGACCTTGGCGATGATCTGGATGTCCTTGCCCTCCTCGCCGAGCACCTCACGGATGGCAGTGATGTCGCTGCCACGGCGGATGAACGAGGCGAAGACCATGTCGACCTTGTTCTTGACACCGAACTTGAGATCGGCCTTGTCCTTCTCGGATAGCGGGGGAAGGTCAATGTCGGTCTTGGGCAGGTTGACACCCTTCCTGGACGAGATCTTGCCGTTGTTGACACACTTGCACTTGAGTGTCTGGTCGTCTGTGATCTCGAGGACCTCAAATGAGAGGACACCGTCGTCGACGTAGATTATGCGACCAGGTGCGATGACCTTGGTGATGTTCTTGTAGTCGACGTACATGTTCTTGTCGTCGCATGCCGTGGCATATTGGTCATCGGTGGTGATGTTTATGATGGAGCCAGCCTTGATGGGAATGTCGGCATCGCCCACTGTGTTACCAGTTCGGATCTCTGGGCCCTTGGTGTCAAGGGCAATAGCCAGAGGCCGGCCGGGCTGTGTCCTCTCCGCCTCGCGCGCATGGTCGATGACGGACTGGTGGTACTCGTAGGAGCCGTGGGAGAAGTTCATGCGAACGACATTGAGACCGACTTTGCGGAGGGAGTTGATCTTCTCCGCGGAGTTTGTCTTGGGACCGATGGTGCAGATGATGGAGGTTCTTCGGTACTCCTTGGCAGGTGTGTACTCAGTGTTGAGCTGGCTGAGCCACTCGATCCTGGTCCTGCCGGAGTTGAGGTGGTCTAGACTGTGTTGCTGTCAGTGAGTGTTGGAGTTGGATGCTTCTATGTAGAAGCGACTTGCAACGCGTGAAGATCTGGGCTCAACAGCTGGAGCTTCTGTGAAGAACTGCTGGTGTTCTGTTTTAAGAGAATATTCTATACGTACGCGTTCGCCATTTCTGCTATAGTATTCAGAAGAGGGCTGTGAAGCTGAAAGTCTGAGTCGCTGTCGCGGAGTGCGGGGCCGGTTAGAGAGTCTGTATGAGGGACTCCAATTGAATGCGCGACGGCTGGGGGATGGGAGGAAGAGAGAAGAACAAGCTGCTCTCTGGAAAATGGCGGTCGACGGGTTTATCTTGTGCTGCGACGGGCTAGAAGTTTTGTTGGCTGTTGAGCGTGTTTTGGAGGGGCAGTTAGTAGCGCGCTAGTATGCTGCTTAGTACGTGGGGCTGCTGCACCCTGCGGCGGTTTGGATATGAGAATTGGAAACAGATTGCAGTCAGAAAATGGTCTGGAGACGGTTTGGTTGAATAAGAGTCTTTCGTTATGCGCCGAACCCTGGGCCGACTGCCTGCTGGACACGTCCCATGGTTGACTGTCGTGACGCCCATTTGCTTCTTCCACTCCGCCCACGTTGTCGCCTCATTGCCCTTGAACATCCCGCCCAGATAAGCCAGCCATCCGACGCGTATTTGCAAAGCGATTGAAAAATCTCGGCGCCTTCGCTCTGGGCGTATCCGGCTAGTGGGCGGTTGTGCTGGTGCGCGGCCGGCTGCTGGCGTGTAATGGATTTTTCAGTGGGTTACCCGCGCGGAGATGGTCGTGTCTTGGAGGTTTCATGGGGTCAAGAGCAAGACATCGTCGCGGCAGGCCCTTGTTATATAGCAGGCGCACCTGTCGTAGGGTCCGCTCCTAAATCACCCGCAGCTGCTCCGCATGCTTGCCCGAGGTCAAAGGGAAGGTCCCATTGATGCGACAATACGGTCCAGTTCCATATTAGTGGGGACCGTTCTGCGCATCTGAGCCTGTAGGACATCGCGGACACGCGCATAGGCAGTCGAGAGAGATAGTCCCGCGACGGATCTGCCCATCTGTGAACTTGACCAACTGGTGCACATGTCACATAGTACTCTAGACCCTAAACTAGGGAACCCTGAGGTCGTGTGCCAGCGCAATCACATGCAGACAAGTGACTAAGGAAGGGCACCAGCCACACCTCCACTCTACACCGCATCCCGCATCCTGCACTCAACAACAACACCCACACCCACCGAACCTCCTGAATCCCAGTCGCCACGCTCTCCCCAAGCAGCCTCACGTAGCCTCACATCCATCCGCCACCTCCCACGTCGCCCATCATGGTCGTATGTCTACTACTCTACTACTGCGTTTGTGGACCACCGAGTCGCATGCTCCGTAACTCACACAAGTAACAGCTCGGCAAAGTCGCACATTACGCCTTCGATGCGGTATTAAGTACGCACCCTCGCTCTCACACCTACTGTACCCATCGCTAACAGCACCCCAGTATCCGCCTTCCTCGCCGGCGTCCGCCGCTCAACTGGCCTCACGTATGTCCCCATCAATCCCTCCCAAGCGCCACCCAACCCACCCCTCCACAACCCCCCGTTTCGAGCCGCGCAAAACTACAAGATCGGAGCTAAAGCTAAACCCAGACCCAGTGTGAAGCCAGATACTTTCGGCGAAAACCCCAGCGCCCAGAAATGGTTCGAGAGCTACCTCTGGGTCGGCGAGACCGTCATGGACCAAAGCGTCGCCTTCTTCGGTTCCAGTTCCTACTTTGAGCGCAAGCGATAGATGCGTTGTATACCCACAATCAGCGACGAAGTCACGGCGAATGTGTGATCTGCAGATGTGCGGAAGATGAAACGCTACACGAGGCGGGCGACTAGAAGCTCTGGCAGCTGGGGCTGGCTAGATGAGTCGTGGTGCGTTGGGCACAGCTTGGCGATACCATGTCGGTATGGAAGTTGGATGAAGAGCACGGCGTCGAGTTTCCCTCTCGATTAGCAGGCAGACGGCGTTGCGGCGAAACCATTGTCTATGAGATTACGAATGCAAATTATTCCAACATGTCGTCTTTTCTTTATCGATGAGTTCAGGCTTATTTGGCTATCGCTGCGCACTCCATGCAGGGTATCATACGCGTTTATGTATAAACCGAGAAAATAGACTGATGACCCTACTCTCATGTTCTCCGTTTGAACCTAAACCCAGTCTCCTCATCATCGCTATCGTCGTCTCTTCTGCTGAATCTCCCCTTCTTACTAGCAGGCTGCCCACTCGCAGCGTCCGATCCCCTCTTCTTCCCCCTCTGCGTTTGCGTACCCTCAAGCTGTGTCTCCACAACCCTCTGCGTCCGCCCACTACTCTTCTGCGTTCGTTGTTCCGGAATCTCCTCGTCGTCCGGTCCGCTGTCTTCAACATTAATCACTTCTTGCTGCGCCTGAGACTGCGTGGTCCGTTTCCGACGAGTGAAGCCACCGACTTCTGGCTCTGACGAATCGTCCGCTGCTGCGTTGCGACCGCGCCGGCTATCGCGTGAACGGAAAGAGGGCTCGGTGTCTTCGAGGAAGAAGGCGTCAGTGAGGCCGAAGCCCTTCTTGGCTGGTGCTTCTTCAAGCGTGACGATGACTTTGTGGGTTTGCATGCCTTGTTCGGCACCACGGCGACGGAACTTCTTAAAGTTCTTGCGACCATTCCACTCAGCGTTCCAGCGCTCGTTGTTGGTTTGACTTTGATTGCGCGAAGGGCCTCTGTTCTGCCGAGGTAGAACGTCCATCTCTTCTATTTGGGCCAGGTTCTTCAGCTCAGTGATGTCGATACCTTCCAGCGCTTCTCGCAAGCTCTCCTCGTCTGCCTTGCGACGCTCCTCTTCTTCTTTGATGCGCTTACGAGTATGCTCGCGGATATTGATTTCCTTTTCGGACTTGTCTTTTGCCAAGTTGAGTCGCTCCCGAGCAGCTGCTATAGTGGACGCTCTCTTCACTGGGCCCCCTTCTTCGGGCTCGACAGAAGCAGATGGCGCACGCGTAGCCGCTCTTTGTGCCCTCATTTTGGCGGCCGTCGGGAACAGGGTATCCATTTGCTCTTCTTTCTCGATTGTCTTTCGGGCGTTTGATGGCGGAGAAGGTTGACTTGGTGTACCTGATGCATTGCGTGCTTGCGAAGCTGTCGTCGATGGTCCTGGTGGTGGTGCAGACTGCTGGACATCTTCTACTGGAGGATTTTCGACCTTCAGCTTCTTCTTTGGGATGGGCTCGTCATCATCAAAGCCCGTGAAGCGGCTCGTCTTTGGCCGGTGAATGCGCTTTCGAGGATTGATCTTTGCGGGCTCCTCCGCTGGAGGTTCGTTGTCCTCGGGAGCCTGCGACGGTGCTCTAGATTCAGACATTGGTGTTGGTTGACGTATAGAAAGGCGAGCGCTTGCAACATCTGGTGGTACAGTAGCAATCACTTCTTCGGGTGGGCTTTGTATTGGAGCACGGTCCCCCGTGATAATCACGTCGAGAAACTCCTTCTGTTCAATTGAGCGTTGCCCAAGTGCCTGATCGACGCCGGTCCGAAAGCTCTTAGTCCATTCATCCTCATCCTTTGCTAGTACATTTAAGCGCACCGTTATGACGGGGAGCCTGTCGCCAGGTTTGCCGCGTCGCTTCTTTCCTGCCACGTTGTGGACGTAAGTAACGTACTCCTCTACCGTTGTCTCACCAGGGCGTAGGTCATATAGCAATGCCTTGCCACCTCCACCAGTGACGGGATCCAGCAGACTATCGTGTTGGCTTTGGCTCAGGAATACGAAGGTCAGGCCAGAGAAGACTTCTGACCGCGATGAATCAGGTAGCAACATCTCATGTGGCCGAGTAACTGGTTCGCTGCTGGCTGCTGGTATATATTCCTTCTCCGCCGGCCACCATGCATCAAAGTCCTCTTCCAGCTTCGAAGGCAGGTAGTTGTTCTCTTCATCGACCGATGGAGTAGCCACAACGAGGACTTTATCGAGGAACTCTGTAGTGACGATGTATTTGGCTGAAGTCAGACCCGAGAGGACTTTGGGAAGGTTCCGTTTCGCGGATACGACGTGGGTGGTCTTGTCGAATACGAAATCGGTTGTCGTCTTCATGTCTAGGGTGTGTAGTTGCGCGCTGCGGGCTTTGCTCTCTTTTGATTCCTTCGAAGCATATGTAAAGACGACTGGGCGCCAGACGATCTTGAACGGCGCATAGCTGGCAGCCAATCTAATGGTATGTTCGGTGCCTTTCAGGGTCTCGTGGCTGTATTCTATCGACCCATCGGAGGCCTTCTGGCTCTTCAATGTAGTTTTCTCGTCGATTGTGACTCCCTGCCTGCAACTCAGATCGGTCACCTCAATCTGTGACCTCTTGTGCAGCTTTGTGCCGTCTTCTGGTGCTGCGTCATACACCTTCAGCATAACATGCTTGCGCGAGACCGCCTTGTTGTCGATTTTCCAATTCTTTCCTTGTGGGCCATCTTTATCGTCTGACTTGGTGCGACCGAACAGTTGCTGTGATCCGGGGCGGAGCCAGACGCGCTTGCCTCCGAAGAGGCTCTCGTGCTCCAGGAACCACATTGCGGAGGCGTCGGTACGAGACGGCTACAAGATGGGTAGAGAGGCGGCGGGTGGGATGCGCATTGTTGTGCTCGCGGTGAGACTGCGCGCGCAATGGTCTCGTGCGGTCGTTGCTGTGTTCACGACTCTAGGCTGAAGTGCGCCGAGTCCATGCGCGCGATGTCGCGGTGTCAGGTGAGACGCTAGCGCTCCTGCTTCCTCTTCACGCTCCCAGCAATCACGATCAGGCATCATTCATCACTGATTTTAGCGCCACACTAAACTACAAAGTCACTCTTCCAAGGTACCATGCTATTGCACTAAGCTTGACGTCTTTGCATGCACCACAATTGCAACTTTAGAGCTTCGCGATTGCAATTATCAACCTGTCCAAGTATCCCCACCCCACCCGTAACCACCTATGATACTCAATCTCCAATGCCGAAACTCTTCCTAGGCATCCAGAAGATCCCCAGAGACACTTGTTCTCGATGAGCGAGTAGCCATTCACTGGTGACGCGATGAAGGTAAAATGTCCATTGGGATATCTACAGTATTCTACCAGCAACTCGCGCAATCCAAAACTATGACCCTCTTGGGTATCACAAAACGAACAGCAGACGAGCGATGGACCTAAAAATAGCGACAACACAACATCTTCTTCCATCCCATTTCATGCCTGCACCTCAGACACATTCTCTGAAGCTTCCCGCATTGCTTGTTTGGCAGCGGCGTTCTTTTCTCTCTCCTGCTGGATTCGCTCAGCATACAGACTCTTAGCTCTCATGGTAGGACCCCATTTGTAGATGAAGAAGACCGGGGCGCAAACGAGAGCGGAGATGGCGAACAAGACCCAAGTCGAATTCGTGACGCCGAGCTTCTTGTACATCGGACCGGTGTAGAAGGAGCAAATACCGGCAAGGACGTCTCGGGCGAAGCCATTGCCACCTGTGGCTGAAGCGGAATAGGTGCCTCCGTACGCGGCAACCATGTAGTCGATCGTGGCGAAGTAGATGGCGAGATTTGCGCATCCGATCAGGACCGCGAAGATGAGGGGTGCGATCCAGGGAAGGGGTGGGCCAGTTACTACAAACGCTGACCCGAATAGGCCGATCGGCAGGAGCAGGACGATCCAGCGGAGGGCTGATAGTCGGCTCTCGGGACTCAGCACTTTCCCGTTGCTGCGCTGCTGATTGTGTTTTCGGATGACGGGTACGTATAGCACTGCTGCTAGCCAGTAGCCGATGAAGAGAGCGAACAAGGCGAGCCCTAGCTGACTAGGAGTGAAGCCCCATCCCTCCTTGCCGAACACGTAGCCGTATGACTCGAGGAAACTGAAGATGAGGGCGTCGCTGAATCCACTGAGCAGCGACAGGAAGCCAACGATCGGTTCGCAGACTAGCATCTTGTATGGTCGACCCATGATCTTGAGACATTTCTTGAAGTTCAGCTTCTCCGTCTCGGTCGGACCGACGACATTGGCATCTGGGTTCTGCTTGCGTTGCTTCTTGGCTACCTTGTTAAGCATGATTGTCGACCTAGTCTCCGGCACGAAGCAGAAGTGAACGATCTGGACAGTGGCGCCTAGGATAAGCTGGATCCAGAAGTTCCATCGCCAGTGAAGGAATTGCTCGATAGGACCTCCACAGATGCCGCCGATTACTGGAGACAGTTAGCATTCCATTCCTCAGACATTCTACGGCATGAGGTTTACATACCTGAACCTAGACAGCTCCACAAGCTGACCCAGAGGATAGGGAGCTGCTGATCTTCGGGGTCGAACATGTCCGCAACCATTCCGAGTGTGACGGAGCCACCGGCAGAGCAGATACCGCCGAGCAGACGCGCAGCCAGCACATGACCCCAGGACGTACTGGCACCGGCCATGATCTGCCAGATGTTGACGGTGAAGAGGGATAATTGCATAATTGGCCAACGTCCGTACTCCTCAGACCAGGGTGCCCATAGTTCGCACCCAATACCGTATAGGATCAAAAACCAAGCCATACCCGCTCTGGCGTTGGTGAAATGATTGCTACCGAGATGGTAGTGCTCGTTGAGTGGCCCTATTGCGTTGGAGTAGACCGCTGCGTTATAATCTGTCGCCTGTTAGCCTGGTATGACTAGATGGTTGGCAAGGCCACTTACTCATGCTGGTTTGGCAGAGTCCAACGACAGTCAAAATCGCCCATTTCTTCTTGTTTGAGAACGCATACCCGGTCTTTCCATATGCGTTCACTTCGTTGAGCTCCAGGGGGCCGCTGGGTTGGGCTTGACGGCTGTGTGTCGCGACCATCTCTATCGCATCTGCAGCTTGCTTGTTGCGGGGGCCAGAGCCACCGGAACTGGCATCGCTGTCGTTCCTAACGTGGGTCGTCATGATTCGGATGTTATCAGTAAGTTCAGTCGAGGAAGTTGAACGGCCTGTAAGACACTGAACTCTAGATAAGGCAGAGTGCAATCAGTGGTAAATCTGGGAGTGTGAGGGTTAAAAGACGGAGAGTGCGGGGAGACGACAGATCTTATGGCTGGCATGCACGACGATGGAACTTGGGACGAGAGTCCCAGCTCTATACTGACTACGGTTACTGTCCATCGCTGACAAAGGTCAGCACATATGCAATACACCTCGATGTAGTGGACCCCGTTGACGGAAGCGCGAGACGGCCCGCCCCCGCTACCAAGGTTCTCGAACGCGTCCGCGCATATTTGCTCGCGATCACCAGTATCATTTCCTTCGATCCAATGCGACCATAATTTGGCTCATACATGGACGCAAGCAGAGGCGCTCCCAGCCTAGAGTGGCATCAAAAACATCTCGCAACACCTCCTGCCCGGCAGACCTTAGTTCATGCACACCAACCCCTCCCCAAGAACAAAAGTCTGGTTCGGAACAGCGCGGGGAAGCATTACCACTACAATCACGCAGGTACATCATGGACCGAGACCCTTGCTCAAGATTAGCGTACCAGTTTACCATTCTTAGCCATCCTGAGAGGCACGTGAGCAAAATCCTCTCGTATGCTCTCCACACTCTATCTACATCGACCCCCATTGGCCTGAGCGAATGTGCAAGTCACATGAGCGATACCTCATCACCACCTCACGATGCTCCGCCTCCCCAGCCGCGCATGTGATTCTCAGGACCAGTCAAACCCATCATCCCCCTCACTGCCATCGTCACTCCACTCCCACTCTTCGTTAACCCATGGCCGCAAGGGTGTCCAGCTGACTCCCCTTTTGCACTCAAATTCGCGCTGTAGGACCTGGAAGTGCGCGTCCAAATCTGCCCTCAACTGCGTAGGTGCCGCCTTTTCTTCCTCGGCACGGGCTGTCGAAGTCAGGTGGGTCGTATGGTTGCGTATCTCATGTTCGCTGACGGGCTTGAAGAGATGTACCAGGGGCCTGTATTCGACTGGGTTACAAGAAGTGGAGTCGCAGTCATAGGACGAGAGGGCGATGCACGGTTTGCCGTCTCGTTCCATCTCGAGCGTCTTTGTGTCTGGCATGGGGACACTTCTTTCGGTGTTATTCATATACTTTGCGTATTCGTAGGTCATCGATGAGTCGCTATCTCCCACTTTGGTACTGATGGTGCCCTGTGGATCTGCTTCGTGCTGCGAATCTTGGCGTTGCGTTGACATGTCAGTGGTGAGACTTAGCTATCATCAGCATGAAATGAAGAGTTGTGTCATTTCTATACGCATCACAAACGCAATTTGAAACGTCACAAGCAAGCAGTCAGTCGCATGTCTTTCTGTTCGGAGACAAACGCTCATTGTCCGGTAATCAGCAAACCACCCACAATGAGTGATGTCAAAGGATTTGCCGCGAGACTTCACAGTGCATGAGGTGTCTAGATGCGCAATGGTATTCATGTCATGTATTGTTTCCACTGATGGTTACGGTATGGGTGTGGACCAGTCTCTGACGTCGCTTCTGCTGTGCAAAGATGTTCACCAATGTGTCCTACCCCATCGAGTAGCAGAGTCCTTCCACTTTGACCATAGCAGCCAAGAAGATGGGCATACTAATGATCAAGATAATCCTTCCCTAAAACTCCGACTCCTAAAACAGCACCGAGCCTTGGATGGTGGCGGACCGATGTCCGCTCGTGAAGTGAGAGCCTGTATGTGTTTATGATCAGCGTCGACCTGCCAGGAAAGGAAGGATATGCATACCACATAAGCCGCTTGTTCGAATGCACACTCGGGATGTGATACGCTTCATGCCGGTCCCATAGCCTCCCACCACTGCTGGTGAGCAGAGCAGACCTTGACAAAGTATCTGTCAAGCTCGGCGCGCTGCATAACCATGAGCTCGCGCTCAGGTGCCACCTTCTCAAGATCCATCTCATGCTCCATTGCACGTATGAGCATGATATTCTTCTTGGCTTCGTGATCGAGAGGAGCGCAGTACTTGGTGTTGTTGGTGGTAGCGACGGGCGTAGGTGGAATGCTAGACGTGGTAGACTTCTTGGCAATGCACGCATCAAGTAGCTCTTGCTGCACGCGTAAGCCCTATAATATGTTAGTGAAAATGCATTGTATGTATGTGTTGATACTCACTTGTTCAGCATGATCGATACCGGTTTCTGACATGGCCACCTTCCAGGCCAAAGCCTCGCTCGTGGCGTTGTCCTGTCCCTGAACGACCTTGACTGGCGCCTCGAACACTTTCGCGTTCGGGTTCAGGTCTAGCGAGCTGAGCTGTTTGTGAGCTTGGACGAGATCGTCGGTCTTGGTCCTCAAATGAGGAGGTATTGACTTCTTGCGTATGCTCTCAGGGCGAGGGCTCTTTGTACTAGCAGTCAATGTATCCTGTCTGGCGCCTTCTTGGATGGCTTTCTCAATAGCGGCCGCCCAATCCGGCGGTTGACTCTTGGTGGGTGAGACTGAGTTCGTCGAGGCCTTCGATATCGCTGGGATCTCTGGACGGCGAGTGTATGGCACAAACATTGATTCCATCGTTCCCTTGGGAGGACCAGTGACGCGTGCGACTGGCTTGGTCGCAGCTAGCCTGGGCCTTGAGGTTTGAACTTGTTCCTTGACAGCGTCCGCTGGAGGCGAAGCGGGACCAGCACTTTGAATCACGTCTCGAGGCAAGCTGGTGCTACGTGCAGCTGGAGCTGGCCACTGTCCGATTCCGCGCCCCAGAGAGCTTCCGTTTGGGGGTGAAGATGAGGCACTCAGTTGGTTTGTGGCAAGCATCTTCGCTTCCCGTCGGAACGACTTACTGCGGCGGTTGTGTTCCGGATCGCGATTGAACCGCGGGTCCGGAAGACGTCCAGGCCTAGCGATGCTGTCCGCATCCGGTTCCCCTATATCGCTACGTCAGCGTGCGTGACAAGGGTATTCATGTCTGGGATTGCATACACGTCTCAGCCTCTGGGGGCGGCGGAGGAAAGGCATCCCATACAAGGGCGGGGGCGGCGATCGCTACACATCGGTCAGCGTTGTCAGGTCAATACAGCAGCAGATTGACCTGCAGCGTCGTGGGAAAGCTCACTTGTCTTCTTGGGTGTGATGAACGGCATGCTCACGTTGCGAGCGCGAGTGCTAAGAGATACTGAGTTCGCAGATGTTGAGACCAGGTATAGAAGAAGAAGTGCGGTCAAGGTTGTTGACGAGGTAGCCGGCTAGCTCTTGCCGCCGATCGGATTCGAGGTGAGCGCGACTTCCCGAAGCGGAAGCAGCAGCCTGGAGCAACTGCAGCTGAAACGTTTGCTGGGTGACCACGCAATAACCGTTGACTTGCTAATTTCGAAAGATCACCAGGTAGGAGCGGGACTCAATTGAAAGGCACACTCGGACAAGACAGTAGCTATGCGATGGAAGAGCTGAATATTGCTGTACGTGAAAAATGATGTGCTCGGAAAGGCGACATGACAAGATGATCTGAAGACTAGAGAATAGAAGAGGAGGCAGGACTGGGAAGAGTAAAGCCACGTCACAGGGCAACGGCGTCTCTCACCGGAACATCGCATACTTGAATTCGCAGAGTATATCCGATTAAAGATATGCTCTTGTGAGATACCAGAGCTTCGCATGTATAGAGTGATTGAAACACCTTCTTCTTGTCCTTATCAGACCCAAGCGGAGGCCATGACGAAGGTGAGATTGAAGACAACGAGGGATGTTCGTCGCAACGCTCAAACGTCGCGCCCGCGACCTAAAAGTAATGCATCTCTACCTACGTCTCTGTTGCCATCGAGGTTTGTGCTGCGTCAGAAGCGGTGGCACTAAGAACCGGCCGCTAACCGAATCCATCTCTGATGACTACTACTATCCCACGTGAGACCGCGACAAGCGGAGATCTATTTCTACATCCGATCGTCGTGCACACAGGTTCGTTGGGCTTTGGGATTTCGCGTAGGCATCGTTCGACGGGTCAGGGAACGCAATCGCTCCTACGCGCCGTACTCACGCCCTGGGTTTGCTTGCTTAGCCACCTGCAGCGTCTGTTGCGCGTGGTAAGCTGCTCAAGGCTGCGAAAGCACACACACTGAATCTCGGCGACCAGCTTCACTCTCTTTCCACGTTTCGTCACTATTTCATTTGAGGAATCGCTACCCTTGATTGGTAATAGGTGGGCCAAACTGCACCTTCCACAATTACAGCCTCGCACTTTCTTCGGTTGCGGCGAGGGAACCTTGCTCTCCCCAATCCAAACTCGCCATTTCCGCACTTCTCTCAAAAGTCATCAACTTCTTCCGCAAGATGGCGGGAAAAGTCACTTATTCACGGCGCCCCAACAAACGCCGCGCGCCCGACGACCGCGATCCAGCAGACAAGAACGACGACCGACACAAGCGGTCGAAAGCAAATGCCGAGCCAAATGGATCGCGGCTACCAACACCACCCTCAAGCCGACGAGGGAAGAAGTCCTGGTTCAACGGTCCCGTCTCCATTCCTGATGACGACATGAACCCTCCGCGCTCCATATTTGACAAGGTTCTCGAAAACAAGAAGCACCAAGCCCCGAAGCCGCATCAGCGCAGTGTCCAGGGTGACCGTGAGAACTTCAAAGGCCTTATGAAGACGGGCCACAAGTCGAGAGAACAGAATAGCTGGGCGAGGAACAGCTCTCTGCCAACGCCACCAGCGGAGGCCCAGAAGAAAGCCCACCAGCAAGCGCGGAGAGATGAGAATTTCGCGCGGTACAAAGGGATAACTAACAGGGGCGACCCCGCGACACTAAAGACATCACCTACGGCGCCAAACCAGACATCGCGGCTCTTTGAGCGTGTCATTAAGAATGAGCAGCCGAAAGAGCCATATCAGCCCAAGACATACAAAGCTGAGGAGATTGCAGCACCACGGCGAACTATAATGGGGGAACGTCTGTCTAGAAGTTCAGACCAAGCCCGCAAGTATGTCTCAGACAACACTCACCTTACGCACACAACTGACTGTATCAGATTCAAGATGAACCAGACCGACTCGCCTCTCCTGCAGCTCCCCGAAAACGTGAGGAATCTCATCTACACTTATGCACTTGGTGGTAGGACTATCAATATCGGCTACCAGACCTATCACCTTACGTTTGACCCCACAAAGCCCACAAAGGTAAAGCGGGTTACACCCATCTTCAAGTACCAGTGCACAGTATACGATGTTCGGCAGAATCCCTTTAAGACGACATCCCAGCCCTGGGTCAAGAGTTCAACGGCGTTTACCTTGCTCAATAGTGTCTGCCGTCAGATGTACCAGGAAACAGCGACGCTGCCTTATAGCCTCAACCTAATCGCTTTTGACTCGTATAGCATCATGTTCAACTTCTTGTTCATGGAGGACCGCCTGCGTCGCGAGCATCTCGAAACCTTCACCGAGCTTATACTACCGGATGAGCTACCGGGACCGAACGCACTTGCCCGCTTGTGCAACGTCAGCAAGGTGTATCTAGGAGTCACACAGGAGGGAAAACCTAAGGGGTGGTACCGTGTAGTGCGTACTCAAGGCGAGAAGCCGAGACTTGCAAGAATCGTGAAGTAGTTTGAGGCAGGCATGAAAGCATGAGTTTGCCTATGAGGGCGTTGAGGAGTTTCGGCGCGACTATCTGGCATTTTCTACTCATCGGTTGCATGATACCCGACACGGCAACGACGTTACGATCCAGCTACATACCCACCATTTCATGGCCAAAGCCAATATCCATCTGGTAGCTTGAAATAGATTCTCAGAACAGAGGCGATCATTTGCATGGACAACTGCCTCGCTTCTTTCCTTTTTTGCACGCCCATGGAGTGTTGGGTCGGTTGGGTCAGTAAGTCTGACATGTGAAAGAGGCGCCAGCTGTAAGCCGGTCCCCCGTGAGAATGTCCGGGTGGCCACGACTGACTGTGTCACACCCATATTCTTTTTGAGGGTGCATTGTCTTATGCATAGAGCCTCGTGGACTCACAAGATCGAAGATGGCGGTCAAAACAGGTAGGGATGGCTGCCCCACGTCTGCAGCTTTCTCCAGATCTGCCGTGTGCAGCGCGGGATCGCGATTTCGGACGAGCAACTATTCGCGGCGCTACACGGCCTTTCCGAACTAATGCTGCGTGCCCACAGTTCACAATAAAGAGTTCTTGGGACGTGAGCACAGCAACAAGTGGTCAGAGGAGACTCGGCCTTTGATGCCAGCTACACGTAAGACAGATGATGCATGGTGCATGTGCAGTAGTCTGCCAACACGGGACCTGCAGGTACAGGTGGAAGCTGCGTGTCGTATCAGCGTCGGTTGACGACTACTGCCGACGCGACACCCTCGCCGGCTTTGTTTAGTTGATCCTTGCCGATGACGATGTACCATGCGCATGTCCCCACGCTCCCTAGCATGCGCTGCACGCATCGAATACTTCAAAGGCGTCAATGCCGACCCTTCTCGCGCTCGTTTCGTCGTCCGGCGACAACATTGCAAAAGTATTGAAGCGGCAAGCCTGTGACGCACCTTCCGCGACTTGCGCGACCGAGGCGCATGACCACCCGCAGTTGACCATCTCCGGCCACCCTACACCGCGTCTTCTCGAAAAGCACTATTACTAGGCTACAGACTCCCTCGATCGCGACAGACTCCCCGGATACCGACTCCCCTACTTTGACAACACCGCAAGCTGCCTTCACAACCACTCGATCTACCGATCCTCCTACCACCGGCTAAGCCAGGCTTCGTAGGATTCGCGCATGGCGTGTACCGGCGCTCGATGTCATTGCTGTCTGACACCATTTTCACAGGCGGCAGTACGCGACTGCACGTAAGAGGAGGACAAAATGGGCAGAAATCCATAAGGAAGAGCAAGAGCCATGGTGGCTTCCTCGGACCCCTGGTGCAGCTGGCCAGGAATCCGTTGGGGACTCTGGGCGACCCAGTGGGCGACTACCATGTTCCTGAACTAGCCGTGGATGCTGCGGAAGCAAATCGTAGGCAGGTCCTGTACCTGCACATGAAAGACGTGGGTTCCTCAGATTGGTCGTGCCCTTTCACATGCTGACGAGATCGCCACGCAGGCCGAGACCTACGACCAATGGAAAGCCGCCGCGACCGAGCTCGATATCCTAGAAGGAAACGAAGCCTGGAAAGAAGAGGACGACACTCCGGAATACAATGTGGATCTGGTTGCTGCCCGGCTGAAAGAGCTGGACGATGCTCGCATGAGCTGCGATGTGAAGCGGATGCTGTTCTTGATCAGGACTACCCTCACACGCGGTTTGGGCGACATGGGCGACCTGCGTCTGTACAAGCACTCGCACATCGGAACCAAGCGTCTGATCGAGAGGTACATTGAGTCGGCCCAGCAAACTATGGCCGCTTTGCTGGACGTCTCGGAGAAACAGGGAGATCAATGTCCTATCGAGCCGCGGCGACTAGTCGACCAATTGCTTCAGACACGCCAATCATTCGGTAGGAGCGCATTGTTACTCTCAGGCGGTGGAACCTTTGGGATGAATCACATCGGCGTCGTTAAGGGTCTTTGGGACGCTCGTCTTCTTCCACGCATCATATCGGGAGCCTCTGCGGGAAGCATCGTCAGCGCAGTTCTATGCGCAAAGACTGATGCAGAGATCCCGGAGGTTATGCACCAATTTTGCTTCGGAGATCTGAACGTATTTGAAAGCCCGGATCACCCAGAAGGCATGATCAACAAAGCAATGCGCTTGATGAAGTCCGGAGCTCTTTTTGACATTGCACATCTCATGAGAGTTATGCGTGATCTGCTTGGCGACTTGACCTTTCAAGAAGCATACAACCGGACTCGACGTATCTTGAACATTCCTGTTTCGACTTCGTCGCTCTACGAATTGCCCAGACTCTTGAACTACATCACAGCGCCCAATGTGATGATCTGGTCTGCAGTGTAAGTTCACGAAACCGATGAAGCTTCGTGTCTGTGTTGACCCTACGTAGATGCACGTCTTGCTCAGTTCCGCTGGTCTACAAGAAGGCATCTCTGCTGGCCAAGGACCCGAAGACCGGCCTGGAAGTACCTTGGGATCCAAACCCTGACGCGACATGGATCGATGGCTCGGTAGACAACGATCTACCGATGACCCGGTTGGCCGAGATGTTCAACGTGAATCACTTCATTGTCTCGCAGGTCAACCCGCACGTTGTTCCCTTTCTGGCGAAAGAGGAGGAGATTGTCGCTGCAGAAGCCCAGCAAGATGCCGTCACTGGTCCCAGTTGGATGAGTCTCTCAGCTAGTCTTTGTAAGGGCGAAGTAATGCACCGCCTCCAGCAGCTAGCGGATACTGGGTTCCTCCCAAACCTTGTCACAAAAGGACGTTCGGTGCTCAGCCAGCGATACTCAGGCGACATCAACATCTTCCCCAAGATCAACTACGCGGACTTCCCTAGAGTCTTGAGCAATCCCACGCCCGAGTTCATGGTCGGATGCATGCTGACTGGACAGCGAGCTACATGGCCGAAGCTCTCGCGGATACAAAACCATGTCGCCATTGAGCTCGCGCTGGACGATACGATCCAGAAGCTCAAGGGACGGCTTGTCTTTACACCACAGCAAGACATCAGCATTAGGCGAACCAGCTCTCAAGATACCGATCTCGCTCAAAGAAAGCGAGCGAAATCGACGCATAAGATGACGCGCTTCGAGCTCAGGACGGAGCCTCCTAGCCCCGTGCTGCGGAAGTCTGCACCCACCAGTCCTCTCTTGTCTCGCGCAGCCTTGAGAGCGTCCTCACAACCGCTTTCCGTGGCGAAGCAGGCTCACGGCGCAAATAATGCAAGGCGCGAATGGACTGAGACCATTCAACTCGATCCAATGTCATCCACGAACGATACTTCCGACCACGACTACTTTGCCGACCCCGAGTCAGATACCACGGATAGGCTCTCGTCACCCTCGCCTTCTACATCACCCACGTTCACCGGTCCTACCCTCTGGCCTTCAACTCCTCAAGCCACGATGCAAGCCGCCCCACAGCCCATGCCACAGCCTACGCCACAGCCAACTCAAAGTCCACTCAGTCGTCGCACCAATACGCTGTTTAACCTCACCATGACCTCGGCCGCAAGGTCCTCCTCCAACCCAAACGTACCGAGCTCACCAGAGCTGCGGTACAAGCGCCTATTCCACCCCCCAGGGCCTGCCACACCCGATGTCAGTGTAGGCCCACCGATACTGGATGTAGAACCCATTAACACAACACGTTCCCCGTCTGCCAGTAGACCTGGTAGCCGCCGCGGCAGTGTATCGGGTCTGCCAATTGATCCCTCAGGGACTCGTGGTATGCTCCTGAGGAAGAAGAGTTACATGTAGCATGGATGATTGAGCTTGATATCCTTTTCGCGATTACCCTTCTTATACATAGTCTTTCATATTCTATTCGCCTTTTTTACCTTCTTCACCACACTTTTTCTTTTGTTCAACCAGCATGGACCGTGGATCAGATAGGTCGCCACTCGATTCAAGAGAGTAGACTGGAATATCAACAGCACACAAGAGTAGTGATACCCCTTCCGTGTACCGTATCTCTATAAACATACATAAGAGGCAGCAGAGACCAGACCATATATATAGTATAAATACACAATCAACCCAGCATTACTCATCGTCATCATCATTACCAAGCTGCCGTTCGTTGCCTGCCCGCTGTTAAATCATTCACTCAGTTCCTTCTCTGGCTCCCTGAAAACCTGCTTGACTTCCTTCCCCCTCCACCGCTCGAACAACTCATACCCAAACACCAACACAATCGGCAAGCTCACCATTATCGCTGTGACCCGGCGCGACGCGGGTTTGTATTTGGGTGGTAGCCTGATGTCGGGTGTGGGCTCGATGAGGCGCGTGGGGTGTTGTCGGTGTGGTGGGGATGGAGGTGGTGGTTGGTTTGAGGGACGGATGCTTGTTGGATAGGGGTTCGGTGGTATGTGACGCGTGGATGGTGTGGGTTTTGAGAGGCGTGGGTATGGGTTTGGAGGTGGGGAGACGGGCGATGGCGCTTTTGTGGGGTGTGAGGGGAGGGGGATTGTTGTTGGGCGTGGAGTGGTGGGAGTCGTAGTCGGTTTTGGAGGAGGAGGCGTCGTGGATGCTGCTGCTGGTGTTGGTCTTGACGGCGAAGACGCTGACTTTGTTGTCGGTTCTTGGGCCTGAGGTTGTGGCGGCGCAGTCTTCTTGTCTGTACTCGACACTACTTTCTCCATGACCTTCGCAGCCTGTGCCTTCTTCAACGTCCCTTTCGCTTGTACCTCCTCTAATATCTTGCTTGTAGACGGTGCAACGGGTGTGGGTTGTTCGGGGGCAACTGTCGATTGGGGCGCATCTTTCTTCGCGGCAAGAGTAGCAGCAGGAGCAACCGTCTTTGCACTTTTCGCAACCGCCTTCTTCTCTTTCTTGACTTCCACCGGTTTCGCCTTTCCAGCAGGCTTCGCGGCCACCTTCTTTACAGCCGCCTTGCTCGCTTCGACCGCTGGTATTGCCCCCGCATCCTCGGCTACGACTTTCTTCGGGCGACCGCGTTTCTTAACCGCTGGGGGTTCGCTTGGTGGTGGTGATGCCATTGTCGCTATTCAATTGGCACATGGACTGTGTGCGCAAAGTGTCTGAAAGTGTAGGGAGGACGGAATGGGCGTTGCGACACGGCGACTAGGGCGGGCGCATTCGAGGGGTGAAGCGGGAAATTTTGGGCGAGTATGATTTAGGCGGAGATGAGATGCGATGCAGGGATGCGCGCGCATCCAACGGTTCGTAGCGTGTCTGGGGACAGACGTGACTTTGCTGCATGGCGACTAGTTTGCATGAGGGTAGCTAGGCACTCCATGTGTACTTCATTTCATTCATTCAGATATCTACGTTACAGCATTTACAAACTCCATGACACCACTATACCGGAGGTGCGATCCAACACCTTCAACGCCTTATCGTATCGCAACTACTTCTGCGCTTCTTCCCTCTTCACTCTGAAGAAGGCGAGTTTGGCGAAACGTCCTAATTGACCCCAGTAGTGCCGACCAGCAGAGTGGTCCATGATTCTCTCTAGTAATCTCACGACCGCCATCCTGACATCCTGTCGGGGATGAAACAAGCCTAGACTAAGATAGAAAAGACCAGCATCTGGGATTACACAAAGTAGCTGCAGAATGGTGTCGTACTGGAGCTGCGAATTCGCCTTGCGCTCAGAGTCATTGGTGATGGAAAGTGACTGGGCCATGGACGACAAATCACTCGAAGAAGCATTCGCACTCTCACTAGGTGGTGAACCCGCTTCTTCAACGCACCGCGCGAGTGCAAGATAGATGCCCGCAGATTGATCGTGCGTAAGTTTCAAGCATCGCAGCTTGTCGTGCTGGTGGGCCATATCAAGACCTCGCACAGGTCTCTTTTTCCAATGTCTCGCTAGATCTTGAACGCAACTGTAATAACTCCTTGTGTTGCGCCAGCCCTCGATACGGTGTACATTTGCAGCGAGCTCGCGTAGCTTATGGTTCTCGTCTGGCCAGACGTAGCCATGCCCAGAGACACCATATGCGCCAACGTCGGTCTCATGGGAGCCAATGTACAAGGCCGAAGCGCCATAGACCGTCTCTTCAAAAGCGGCCGCGATGCGAGTGAACTTGAGCACCCACGAACGCCACTTCGCTCGGATAGCATTCTCGCCGTGACGGTTAGCGATACTCTCGAGAAGTCTGTCCATGAATTGGGTGTCGCCGGTCGGGTCGACGCCGCCCCCTTTGCCATCAAAGGCTGGTGGTGCACCTGGTCCGTTCAGTGGTAGGCCCTGTTGCTGGAAGAACATGGACCCCTCTGTGGGTGACGCCGTCTCAATGCGGTTGCTAATCTTCATACGACCGGTCGGCAGATCGCAAAGCAGATCCCACCACTCGGGCTTGTAAGAGAAGGCGGGGTTGGTAACACCAGCAATGAAACCAGGAACCTTCAGCAGGTCATCTACTTTGGTAAGATCGGTATATGGGAACGCATGGCGAACGAAGCCACGGAGAATGCCACCAGAGGCCAGGGCACATGCTGCCAGCACGGCTTCGGCGACCTCGCCTGAGGGGCGATTATGTCCGATGAAGATGATGCGCTTCTGTGTGAGGAGGGCGTTGACGAGGACGATGATGGGATGGGTGAATGCGCCGCTCGTGGTCAGATGCGGGTGTAAAGCGAAGGGCTGCGGTTGCGCCGCATGAGGCGCGGAGAAGGTTTGGATGAGCTTGATCAAAGAGAAGTCGCCCACAGTCTCTGGACTCAGAGCGGTCGGTATCTTGACGGGGACAGGTATGCCGTTGTAGTTGATCTTGGACTCGAACTCGTGCGTGTCTCGCGGGACAGTGTACGTCTTCTTCCGCGACTGAGGATCCGACGAGGTTTCGACGGAGTCTCTTGCAGCGTCGAGCTTCTTCCGCTGCCGGACCATGAGCTCAAACTTCTCCACAAACATGTCTTTGGCATCGCTGGCACCAAGCACGAAGTTCTCCAGGGGAGATAGCCTTGGGAGAAGTGAGAGATCCATGGCATTGAGCGCGTTGTATAGAGATTCGAGGGTCTCCAAGACAGGCGCCCTGAAGTATTCCTCGAGAGCCAACAGTAATAAGGGCTTGTATATGTGCAGGAAGGGATGGCGCGTGCATATAGCCATGGCCTTGACGATGGCGCCTCTGTGTAGTGTCAGTCTTGCCAAGTATACGGAGATGTTCTTCCTACCTCTTCACTGTATTGTCCTGCTTGGTGTTGACCAGGTTCAAGACATAGACCAATGGGGGCCCGTCAGGGTCTGGCTCCCCTTCGCTTTCTGTGTCGTCGTCGCCGTCATCGTATTCGTCGTCTTGCTCCTCGGTACCGGCAGTCGCGTCGTTGTCGCCTTCATCTTCCAGACCCTCTTTCCGCCGGCGTCTCCTCCTCCTGCGCTCTCTCCGTGCTTCGCGCTCCTCCTCTTCGGCTGTGGTGTCCTTGTGCAGGAAGAAGATGGTCCAGTCTTGACTGCGCACGTGGGCCTGATCGGGCAACATGAGCTCTGCTAGCATAGTCTCGTCTCCACTGATAGCCGCCGGGTACTGGTGCTCCATGATGGAGCCGCGGTCAATGTCGAACGAGGCGACCAGGATGTACTCGACATGGTTCTCAACCGCATCGGCGGGATACTGCGAGCGCAACTTGGCGGTTCCTCTGGGAATGGCGGCCATGGAGGACTGATACGACTCGTCGTGCGAGGACTGGATTGAGTCGTCTTCGTCGCCCTCGCGGAGCATGGGGGGTTGCGGGGAGCGAGCTTTCGGATGGTGGCCATTGCGGGTAGAGGGCGATCGCGAGGGAGGGAACGAGGAGAAGGAGGGCTGGCGCTGCAGGGAAACAGGCTGAGCGGCATTGGGCCCGCTTGGCCGCTGTGCGATTACTTCAGCCATGAGTGTCTCCATCTTCTTCTGTACGGGCACCTGGCGACTCGGATGCTACATTATCGATCGACGGCGCTAGGGGAGCCTAATGTAACCGTTCCGAAACAACATGACGCGCTGTAGCTGGCGGAGATGGGGAGTTGGTCCAGCAGGCCGTGGATCTGGGAGCGTGAATGGCTACCGCATAGTATCCGGAGCTGTGACTATGCGTGTGACCCGCTATGCTGCCCGCAGAGGGTGAATGAACCCTGCATGCCCACGCCAATTACCCATGTCAGCTTATCGATAGGCTCGTTGCTAGGCCATCCCATTAACAACACCAAACAACGCGACGACCAGCGACATCACCAAAACGAATGTACACACCATGGTATGCTGGACCCTTGGGAACTACGTGAATAATACTAATGATAACATGCAGTCTACAACACCAACACCCTACAAGCCCTCGCCCCTCTCCTTCAACAGCCCGCGCCAGTCGCCCTTCCGGAGACCAGGCTCCATCAGAGAGAGCTCACCGTCTACTCTGCGACCATCGACGCCGAACAGTTCGCCTCTCAAACCAAAAGAGACTCCCACATCTCCCGCGCAAACACCCAACCGTCTATCCATCGGGGGCAACCCATCGCAAAACCCGCCATCCTGGCTGAACACACGGGGAACGACGGGCACCCCAGAAGCGCCCAATTCGCCTTCTCGAAATCTCTCACCTGGACGCAATGTATCACCCACGCGAAATGTTTCCTCTTCTTCACAGATGACGGTGCGCCCTCTAAGTACATCATCAATCGCGGCTAAGTTTGAGGCCGCTGGGAGGGACGACGCACCACCGCCTCTGTTCAGTAGGAAGAAGTCACCGCCTGTTGAGAATACCGAGCCAATTGAGAGCCTCAAGCCAGCCGAGACTTACACCCCGGTTGAGGAGCCTAAGCCGGCGGAGACATACAAGCCAGTCGAGACGTATAAACCAGTCGAAACTTATAAGCCGGTCGAGACCTTCAAACCCGTCGAGACATACAAGCCAGTAGAGCGCACAGCACGACCAGCACCCATGCAGCGAATGGCCTCTTCCGACGCCCTCTCCAAACTCCCGCCACCCCTCCTCCACAGCATGCGCGAGTCCTTCAGCGTCATGGACCGCGACGACGACGGCCACGTCAACTCCGCCGACGTCGCAGACATGCTCTCCCAACTCGGTCTCTCGGCGACCCCCTCCCAACTCTCCACCTACTTCAACGGCGCGCAATCCATCAACCTAGCCACCTACCTGACAACGCTGTCCGACCTCCTCGGCAACCTCTCCCACCAAAACGAACTGACCGCTGCGTTCGAGGCCTTCGACGATAATGACGATGGGCAGATTGATCTGGCGGAGTTGAAAGATGCCTTGTTGCATACTGCGCCTGAGGCTGGAGAGAGGAAGTTGACGGAGCGGGAGATTGATATGGCCATTGAGGGGTTCAGTGGACGGAGAGCTTTCGCTAAGGGAGGGAAGAGTTTGGGCAACAGGACGGAGGTGTTTAGATATCAGGAGTTTATGGCTAGTCTTACGGGTGGGAATGGTAATGGTGGCGAGAATGGCGAGGGTGCAGCTGCGCCGGCGTAGATCTATCCATGCGCGGCAAGTGCAATTGGGTTCTGGTTTTGAGTTGGGATTTTGGCTTTTTGCACAGGCAAGTGCGGTCTTATGTATACCAATGAGTATTGATTTATGCACGAGCAGCGCTTGTTGTTCTCTAATACGATAGTATATTTTCCTGTATGTGTCATTGAGATAGTATAGTCTGTGAGTGGCTCTGTGTCTGGGTTGCAGTGCATGATCGATAGATAAAGAAGAATAGAGCGTCTTGCTATGTGCACGCACTTCACTGGACCCAACCGCGTGTTCTTGAATGAGTACCTAACCACCCTGATGCTAATGAGCTCTTGTTGACTGTGGACCAGACCCACGATCCCTTATGCTCATAGTATCTGGACGATGAACTCATTCAATCGACCATTTTTCCAGGCTCGCGACAGCAGGCAAATCAATCACTTTTGACCGAGCTCGATCTTGATATAGCCCAGCAACGACTCTTAAACTTCCTCCAACCACTTACTGTCCAGCTTCATCTCATCCGCAACGCCACTCTCAACTTTAACTTTCTTGTCTTCCCTCTCCTCTTCCACGACATCCAGTCCTCTCTTGAGAGACACATTTCCGTTCTCTTCCTTCGCAAGCTTTGCTTTCCTCTTCAACGCCTCCCTCTTCTTCATCTCCTGAATGGCAGTTATCCACTTCACCATACCTGCTGTATTCAGAGACCCCACGCTCTGGTATCGCAGACCCCGCTCAACAACCTCGAGTAGATCAGGCTCGGCAATCGGCTCACTGACTGTTGTGCACGGAGATGCGCGGTTGATGCAGTCGCGGAGTGCGCGGATGATGACGGAAGGCGACGTAAAGCGCATGGTCGTCTCAGCTGGTAGGGTCGGAATGCTTATTGATTTGTGTGGTCCCGAACTATAGTGCCCAATAGGATCGAGGCTCTGGTAGATATCTGAGCCCCATATCTGATATCCGGGAGCCGAGCAGTCTGCAGCAAAGAAGACAATTCTCTCTTGGTTCGTGTTGACTCTAGAGAGTTTGAGTTGGTGGGTGGAGTAATCTCTTCCGACCCATCTGGTATAGGGAACGTAGTGCACGCTTGCTAATTGCATGAGTTAGCATCCAGATCGTACTCGGAATTGTGTGAGGGCTTGAATGCCAGAGATTGCTTGTTAGAAACTCACTTGAGGCATTCCGAAGATCGACTTCCTTCCTTATATAAGTTCGTTGGTTGATATGTGCTCTGCCAAACCAACCCTCGAACCATACTGAGCCTTCCGTTAGATCTATGTGTAATACTCCGACCTCGCCTTTGTGAATGGGTTGTGTGCGACAACACGCCATGAAGAGGTGATTTGGCCACGGTGTGAGATTTTCTGGATCTCTTGCGAGCTTGCGGTTGATGGGCTGGGATGAAACTTGGATCAGGCGGTGCTTGGGGTCGCTCTTTCTCATTCCGGTTGCGTGGGATGCCGGTATTTGTTTTCGGCGCTTGAAAGAGACTCCAACGGGGTGAGTTTCTATAGTTGAGATGATGCTGAGTCCTGAAAGTGGAGGCTGAACAACACGTTCCGACGTGGGTGTGGTTGTCATCGTCTGAAGCTTACTGACGAACAGTCTCGGTACTGGGGTCTCTATGCGTTCTGGCGTGGGATTTGTTGTCGTCCTCTGAATCATACTGATGGACAATCTCGGTAGCACGGTCTTCATGTCCCCTTGGCCCGGTGGAATTTGGGGATCAGTCTGCGTAGAAGCAGATGCCACCATCTTGCCATCGTCTAAACCCTGTAGTTTCCAATCCACGACTCCACCGCCCTTACCTCGATAGGCTATCTTGAGCACTCCATCGTTCTTGACCAAGCGTAGGCTGAGCCCTACTGCGCTGGTTTCGAGGCCGGATTCCAGCTTTTGAAGGATCGCGATATCGAATTCGTCTGCGCCGTCATCGAAGTCTTCTTCATCTAGTATATGTACCTTCGGCTCCTTGTTGGCTCGCTCGTGTGTCAATGTAAGAGTTCCTGATTGTAGGTCATGAACGTAGAGCGCAAGGCCCGCAGACTTGACGAGGAAGGCTCGCATGTTCGATGCCTTGCTCTTATTGCAGAGAATCAACCTGAGTGCCGAAAGGTAATCAAGTCAGAAGATAGTTGATGATCTTCAGGATAGCTAATGTGGCGATCGAGTTGGAAAGAAAGACCCAAGAAGTCAGCAAGCGGGCTTTCATACGTTAATACGGAAGAAACTAAGGGTCCGCTCTTGTCTGTGTCTCTCTTACCGACGCATATAATAAGATGAGATACGAAAGTTGAGCCTCAGAGGTGATAGCCATCTGCATGTACAATCTGTAAACCATTACGCCTGCCATCCTGGGAGCTTGGTGTATGACGTTCGATAAGACTTGCGCTTGTCCATGTAAACGTCCTCATACCATGACCTTTGATCCGTCTGAGATCTCATTGCACAACCCGAGGAAATTAGTCTTTCTCGGTGTACGGCCTGGACGATTAATGTTGTTCGGGCTGATGACACAACATACCAGCCTCTTCCTTTCTCAAGCCGGCCGAATCGATCCCGAGACGGGTCATGAACAATGACGGTGAGTAAAGATGGGAAACAAAGAACATGTTCGTCCATTAGGAGCCGTTGCCGTGGTTCATGCATGGATGGAGGCCTTGAGAACCCTGTAGCTAGCGTAGGCTGGACACGTCCGGTGGCTCCTGCCATTGGAGGACAGGACACGTGATGTACAACACATCGGCGCGGATTAGAAAGCTCCAAAAATTGCCATCCAGTCGTTGGATAATGGCTGTGAATAGTGTTGAAATAGGCCTGAAAGCGGCTAGCACTGGTGAGCTGGCCGAAAGAGGTCGCAGCTATAATATGTCATCGGGCGCCTATTGGTTTAGACGTTGCAGCACAGACGCAGTTCGCGCGCTGCATGAGCGATTGGAGAGCTTCCACCATTTTATATCTTGACCCGACCCCTCCACACATCCCACCGTTGCTCCATACTGAACATGAGTGGCCCGGGAGAAAACCGGTACGTCTGAGCAATGCGCACGCGGAGCTGTGGGAGCCTAAGATACTGACGACTGGTACAGCTGGCGGCGGCAGGGTCAAGCCAACCGCAACTCCAACTCGGGCGCAAACACCCCCACCAAGGACAATGCAGGCCGGCAGCAGGCCATGCCAGCGCCCACGGGGAACGTATGGGGAGCCAAGCAGGGGAAAGGACCAGGTCCCGCGGCTGCACCAGCTCAAGCGCAGCCCGACCAGCACGTACCTGTGAAGGAGTTCAATGCGAACGAGGTCAGGGATTTCCTCAAGAAGAGTACGTCGATGGCATTGCTGGAACATGATATGGCATGAGCTAATCGATTGCAGAATACCTTGAGAGCACAGCCAGTATGAACCACTCCGTCACCCGCGCGCATGTCTAGAGGATTAACATGCTTTCAGACCAACCCTCAGTATACCACAAGGTCCCCGGCGACTCTGTTCCGACCCGAAGCACTGGCGCATGGGGCAAAGGAGGTAAGGCGTCATCGAACCACCAATGAGGCTGGCATACTGACCGAGACGAGGCACCATGACACACCTCATGCCGACCGGCCAGGACTTCTTCACACAGCTGAAGAAGCAGATCGCCAGTCTCGAGCAGACCAAACCCGCGCAATAATCGCATACACACCCGATATCCATTTCAGCGGCATTATGGGGGCATTACAGGAGTTCTGTGGGCATTGAATTGCATGGGTGCTATATGGCAGTACCTATAGCGGCATGAGTAAGGTCATGTTCAGGCGTCTAGGAGTTTGTGAGCGTGTTTCGGCCCAGCTTAGGATGATCGCACGCGATACCCATCTTGAAAGTGTTTGGGGTTGAGGTTACACAGCATTGGAGAGCGTTCGGATGCAAAAGGTCGTATTGTCTGACATGTGTCTGAGTCAAAATGCATCATCAGCTATAAAGAATCCACAGTCGTTACTACATCAGACACAACTGCTGCATACTAGTATATGAGTGAAATACGAGCGTCATCGTATCAAGGTCACCTGCTACCGGGATACCCATACCCCTTTCACTCACGTCTTGTGCAAAGAAGGGTCCACAAGCCTTCGCGCAAGCCACTAATTCCAAACACCGGGCAAGCGTCAACAAACACCAGGCTCGACGGTTGGACAGCAACCGAGGCTTCATCGTTGTTATTTCGCACGCCTTCATTGCTCGCGCTCTATCGCTAAGCGGCACAAGCCACTTATCATCACGCATCATAGCACTTGGTACCTGAGGCGCATCTCCGCAGCCACAGCCAAGGCCGCACCATCGCTGCAGTCCTGAGGCCGTCAACACGCCGATACCCCGCCACAGACCTCCTATCCCAGCGCAATTACATAGACTTTTGGCGGCTTGTTAGGGCAGAGCCGCGTCGTGCAGGTGCTGCGAGGCTGACGCGCAGTGCGCGCCCTAGATCACGGTTCACTCCCGCGTAGATCTCCGACTGGGGACTCCTAATGCGGTCCGCCTTTGTTCATTTCCGCGACTTCACGAGCCTTCGACGTGTTCGGAACACCGGCGACTATCGCAATACCACGACAACACCATGTCGTCTCCTCCCAGCACTCCCACCCAACGCCCTGCGTCTTCGCACCGCCGACATCCCTCCAGCCTAGACATGTCACTCAACACCTCATCGAGACGGCAGTCCTTCACCCGCCGCAACTCTGGCTACTCGCCCATAACGCCGCGCTCATCGCAAGACTTCGAACACAGCCCCGCGCACCAATTCGACGGCGGAGGAGACGGCAATGGCTTGGGCAACTTGGCCGACGAGCTCGGCGAGATGTACGACGATGACGACGAGGGCATGGAGGGCGAATACGGCGAGGAACTGGACGAAGCACAGGACGAGAACATCGGCACGGCTGTAGAACACGACGGCTCTTATGGAGTCGACAGTGCAGCTAGTGTCAACGGTGTACGGGATAGTGGGGTTGCCATGCAGGACTCGTCTCCGGCGCGCCTCAGTCCAGGATCCGCCGTTAAGACGAAAAAGCACACAAGGCAACGCTCGCTGTACGATGGCTCCGACTACGGTGACGACTCTGACCTGGAAAATGAGGGCATTTCGCCCGCGCTCGACGCGCGGATGGCGGCTATCGAGAGTCTGGCACGGAGAGGCATGGAGGAGAACGGAAGCCCATCTGACGAGGTGGTGAAGAGGGTCACGCAACAACTCCGAGATCTTGGCAGCCAGATTGCGATGGAGAACGGAGCGACGAGGTATGTTCCAATTCGCAGCCATGTCCAGTCATCGCTAACAAAACCCAGACTGAAGACTGCGCACGAGGCTCTGACAACGCATCTGACGCACCAATCGCGTACCCTTACATCCATCGCCGTATCCTTTTCAGGTCCCTTCGCCATCCTCCCCGACCCGGAGGATATCGACGAACTTCTCCCCATCATACAGACTACCCTGGAGCTGCTACCCCACCCCTCCGCCGATCCGCTCGTCGCCATCTCCCACCTTACCCACTCCAGCCGCGAACTCATCCAACACCTCTCAAACGTCAGCGATACTCTCCACATGTCACGACAAACCACCGCAAATGCAGCCAGACGGCTAAAGGTCAGCAAAGAACAGCTGCAAGACTGGAAACGCGACAACGAAAAGACGCAAGAGGGACAGGAATACATTGAGCATGGGGACTGGGATCGGCGGCTCAAAGAGAGGGAGGCGAAACGGGCATGTGCGAATGTGCTGGATGGGTTTGAGGATGTCTGCGGGCAATGGAGGAAGAGGCTCTGCGAGGGTCTGGGCGTGGCGAGTGCGTAGAACCTCCCTGCGTGTCTCCCTGGGCTGTTCTGCCTCGGCGAGTCTTCTGCAGGACTTCCGACTGACCCAGTACAGGCGCGGATGTCCCGGACGACGCGGCATATATTCGCCCTTCTTGGCATCCTGCCTCCGCCAGTACAGTGCCGGAACCGCCGGCAGACTCAGACTGGTCTGACTGCACTCCAGTAAAGGCGGCGCCCAAGAAGCCGACTCAACAAACTAGCACAGACTCGATGTTCCCAAACTCTTCGGATGAGATGCATTGAACCATCACTTCTTTTTCCTATGTTACATTTGTTGCATTGATATGGCATGGCAGTAAGGTGTTTTTGGCGGCGGCAACCGATAGATGGAGACCTGGTAATACCCCATTTATATCTATAGCTTCAGGACAAGCGCTTGTCTCATTTGTAGGAGTTGGGGGCCTTTTGATAGATGAAGAATGAAAGGCTTTACAGTATTGCAGGTGGGAGGACGCTCTTGAAGTTGTAGTTGGTGGGATAATGCTGACTATGAAATTTGATAACAGCTACAGATGATACAGCTCAGGCTAGCTTCCGGATCGAGCTCACGTCGCTTACACCAGTGCCCTCGACGACCCTCGCCTCAACAACCTCGTATACAGGGACCTCCTTCAACCTCTCGACGATGTGATGCAGCGTCGGCAGCGCCTTCCAATCCAAAGCATCAAAAGAGATCTCAGCTGAGCTCGCCTTCAACGTCCGCTCGACCTTCTTCTCCACCGTCTTCGCATCCTCCTCGCCCGGCAGAAAAGCGGTGTACTCCACATCAGCCTGCCCGCGCTCCTTGCTACCCATGCTACCAGTAGCCGGTACATACTTGTGCAACAAAAGGCCCTCGTCTTTTGGAAGAGGAGGAGAAATTCTTGGCGCCTCACCGTTCGTTGCGGAATGTTCTTGCAGACCGGACAGTGACATGCTGCAGAACTTGGATGACATCCAGCCTGCGTCGAGCGTCCACTTGCTGTCATCTTTCTTGACATCGAGCTCGGCGAAAAGCTTGGGGAAGCCTAGTTCCTCCCTTCCGCTCAGTATGGGATCAGCCAGATTCTCGAAGAGGACGGGTAGGTATGTGCCCGTCACTGTCTCGCCATTCGCTTTCGTGTGCTGGATACCGTGGATGTACAGTCCGAAATGGCTGTATCCTCTACCACCAAGCCACTCGAGGTTGTCTAGCTGCGTTACCGCGAAACTCGCATAGCAAGTCGTGTCAGCGGCAGCAAACTTCAACTTCTCCGTCGGCAAGAGGTTCTCCAACACAGTCCGGCTCGTCTTGAACTTGATACTAGCAGTCTTAAACGTAGCCTTCGATCCATCTCTCGGCCGTCCTGCGAAGTCCTGTCTTGGCCCCGGCATCGGACCAAAAGTCGTAGGCATCCGCCAGAACAGACCTTTCTTGTTCTCCCACTCCCATTTACGGAGCATTTGGCTGGAAAAGTCCCATTCGTCGTGGCCGAAGTTGTAGTTTGTGAACTTTTGGGGGTCGACGGGTGGTCCGCTACCGAGGTCTTTGCCTGATACGCGGGAGTACTCTTGGATGATGGACGCGCGCTCGTATCTGCACTTTTCGTACAGCTTGAGGCGTGCGGGGATGGAGTCGAGGGGTGTGCCTAGGGGGAGCATGACGGCGAGGGAGGCGGCGTCTTCGATGGCTTGGCCTGCGCCTTGTCCTTGGTCTGTAATGTGGTCAGCTTGACTCCCGTTACGATGATGAAGCGAGGACGGCACTTACGAGGTGTAAAGGGATGTGCAGCATCACCGATAAGCACCAGCTTCTCATCTGTCCAAGTCGGCAATTGCTCCATATCCAGCAACTCCCACACCTTCAACGTCTCCTCATCCGCCATACCCAGCAACTTGAGCACCGCAGGCTCAAAGTCCTTGTACACCTCCAACATCTTGTTCAAGTTACCCTGGTTCTGCCAGTCACTGCTACCCGGCTCCTTCGGATCAATCTGACTCTCAGATGTCGGATGAATACAAACAAAGTTCAACAACGTATTGTCAGAAGTCGGGTACACAACCACCCTGCGATCCCGCGCGAAGATCATAACGAGATGACCTTCCTTCTCCGCAAACTTGCGCGTCATCTCATCGTCCAAGGCTCGCTGTCTGGGGATCAGGAAACGGAACGCGCTCTTCCCACTTCCAAAAGTCTTGATGTTCTCCGCGCCAGGAATACGCGGTCTTGTCTTGGAATGCACGCCGTCCGCGCCAACAACAACGTCGCTCTGGATCTTCTCCCCGTCTTCTAGCACAACAACACCCGCCTTAGCATCAACATCCACGACCTTCGCCCTCAGCCTAAGAACAGCCGGCTTCCCCTCCCCCTCTTCACACGTAGCCAACCTCTTCAACTCACTGTGCAAACTCACACGATGCGCAAGCTGCCAGGGATGCTGCCACCTCGCTGCATCGTGCTCGAGCGGCACGGTAAACAGCTCCTTGCCATTCGGCAGCAGTTGCGTCATCAGACGACACGCTACCGCACCATGGGCTTCTGGGATCAAGCCCATGCGGCGGAGAAGGCCGTTGGCATTGGGTGCGAGGTGCACGGCTGCACCGAGTTCGTTGGCGAAACGAGAGGCTTCGAGGAGGGTGACTGTGTGTCCGCGTTGACGCAGGAAGATGGCTGCGCTGAGTCCGCCGATGCCAGCGCCGCATATTGTTATCTTGAGGGGCTGTGAGGATGGGTAAGTATGCCCGTTGATACCATTGGTACCGTTGGTACCGTTTGTGAAGTCCATGATGGATGGGAGAGGTGTGAGGAGCGTTGCAGGATGCTTGAGGTTGCAACAGGACTGTACAGAAACGGGGTGA